TTTCAGAGTAACTGAAAGCAGTTGCTCAAACTTTCCTTTTCCTAGGTAAATTTTTTCTTCCGTAAGCTTATGAGAGAGAGTCCAGTTCTTGCTCATGTGAGCCACATGAAGTATGTGTTTACTCCATGAGAGAGGGCCAGTGTCCTCAAAACACCAGACAATAGCATGATACTTGGTATTGTGTCACGGAAGTGGGAGTTGTGACTGTAAATCCTTCTGGAAGTTTAATCCAGGTTTTCCATATCCGTGGCAAATGTTTTAATGTGCAGTGTTTTTTAAAAATAACGTGGTGGCATAACATCATCTTCCATGGTTTTGATAAAGAGTGGAAAAAGCCTGAGAACATCTTTTGAATATTTGTGCCTCAGATTTAAGACTGATAAAACACAAGGTTGTACAGGACAGCTGCCACCAAAGTCGTTTTGTTAATGCAGGACATTGCTTGCTTGGTTCAGGAGGAGAATTTTAGCTAACTGTTTAAAGGCATAAGATGCTTAGAAATTTGGATATGTATATAAAATGAATATTTTAAAAATTGCCACTTTTCATTTGGGCTCAAAAGACCCTATTACTTGCATTGGTAAGTCACATGTTGAGAGCCCTAGCTTGTTCACATTTCTGAGGTTTAGACCTTTAGGAAAACCCCACTCTGTAATGCCCTCAGCACCCTCCCAAAACCAGCTGCTGTCTTACAGAGGAGTTAAGCACATTCCAGCAAAAAACAGGACTGAAGGACAAATAACTTTGTACCAAGTTCTTGAAACAATAGCCTAGCAATGTATATTAAGAGTGAGATTAACAATAAGCTTCTGTTCCCTATTTCCTGAAAAGGCCTTTTCATATTTATTTTCCTGTTCATTTTTAACTGTTTGCTCTTGGAACAGAGGAAGTTAGTTTTACTAGCAAAATAGGCAGTCATAATTAATCCTGTTTAGTTAGTCCAGTTTCAGAATGAGAGCTGCAGTGGCTGTAGTCATTTTTCACATCATTATGAGAGCAGTCAGATGGTTTGTGCCCAGTGGTATGGAATTGGCTAAAGTATTGGAATTGGTTCTAACAGATGACTAAGAGGCTTTAAATGTTTAGATAATATGCTTTCAATAGTTTGAGGCGTTTAAATGCCTGTGATTTCACTTCAAAGTTGAGCGTATCCTTATGTTTTGTTGTAGTTATTTGGTGCTGATTTAAAGATATAATAATTTTTAATGGATTCTATATTATATAATGGTGTTATTAAACATATTAAAATTATAACATAGCTGCTTCTTATAACTGTAAAATGTCTTACAAAAAATGGCTAGGGGTTTTCATGTAACATAAATCTAAAGTCAAAAATGAGAGCTCAATTTAGCTAAAGACATTTGGTGTCTTTTAAAGAGAATTCAGGTCTGTTGTTCTGCAGACCAACAGCAGAGTCAACTCTTCATCAAACATGTGCCATTTTGCAGACTAGTTCATGTTAATAACTTGAGAGTGTGGTTCTTTGTACTGCTGTCTTCATCCATGTCTTTCAAATGCATGAGTTGTCTGTAGAACACTTCTGTGACAAATTCAGAAGGCTGCTTTGTTACTTTGATACTTATGCATCCTTGGCACTAAGTTCAGTTAATACACGTTCATGCGTTTTTACTTTTGTTACATTATATAGGATTGACCAGAAGTAATGTTGTATGTGACCTGTGTGTAGCTAGGTCCATCCTGTCCAGGAGCATGGCCACCCTTCTTCATAGCTCCATTGCTTTTCAGCTGTGGAGGCTCCTGAAAGCACATGAGGCATTGAAAAAAGTCTTATTTGCAAGATCCTTCAAGTTCATATATGTCTAAAACACTTCTGAGACTAGGTGAAGTCGAGGACAAAGCATGTGATCCATAGCTTTCCTTCTGTAGATTTCTTTTTTTTCCTGCTCTCTAAAAAGTACTCATTTCAGAGATTGAGATAATCAGTTCTACGAATGAACTCCCTCAAGAGAGACTTCTGAAAACAGAGTGCGTCCATTTTGCTTCCATTCTCTAACATTAAACGTTAAATTCATTTAATATTACCTTAGTTCAGATGAAATTCAAGAAATACAGGTAATTGGAGAAAAAAAAACAACTAAACAAATGAAAGAAATCATATCCATCCTCCTCATTTCTTCCTGAGGCAGGTAACATGCAATTCATTTAGATACACTATCATACCACTCAAATATTGCACTAATATTAAAGTGTATTAATAGAATAATGTATAGACTAATACAAGGAAAAGGAGTCATTACACCTGGCTGTGCATCTCCATATCTTGAAATGTTCAGGGACACTTCTCTAAAGGAGTATTCTCCTTCAGTCATTCCATAGGAAGCTTCAGTGACTCAACTGTATTTGAAAGGCTAGACTTAGAAAAATTAGGAGTTCCTTTATATGAATCTATGCAGTGAAGCAGGTATGCAAATTTTGTCTCTCAGTATTTTGAGCAACCTTCTGTATCTCTTACCTATCAAGATTCTTTCCTATGGTTTGTGAAAATATCTGTAACGTCTGGCCAGGAGCTCCGTGGCCTACATCAGCAGTGTAAATTGTACACTTCTCGGTCATATTTGAATTCTTTAATACTAAAAATTGATTAAATTAAATCAGACTGGAGCGGGTCACTAAAGAAATTAGATTCTTAATTTTAGTATTGCTGATAGCCATAAAATGAAAGAGATTATTGTCAGTCTCTGAGTAGCACAAGGTGACAGTCTTGGTAGTAGTGACATATTTGTCTGTTTTACTAATAAATATACATCTATATTTATCTTTGAGACCTAGATGATATATGTTATATTTCTGACATCTCAAGTTTTCTGTGGATAAAGATGATCTGATTTGTATACAGTAGCTAAAGCACCTTAGTATATATAGAAACAGTGCTTATGTCATGTTTACTAAACACTATAAATGCTAATGGATAAATTGTCATTTATTTACACAAATACAGTTGCAGAGAGTGTGTGAAGAAACAAGGTACCAAAATGGGCTAAGTGCTGCTGGTGACTCAGCTAATGGTAAATCTGTCTTCGAGAAAATGCCATTGAAAAGAAATGCTGAGCTGCAAAGTGTTGTGTATTAAATTATGTCAGTAGGAAATTTATACTGCTAATAATGACTTCAACACATACTTCTAGTTTTGTGTTTGTGTAATATTAGTATTCAGCGTGTGGATATTTATTGATTTAGCTTGTAATGACCAGATAAAAGCATTATGGATGGCAAGGTAATGTAGAATCTGACACTAGTAATCTGGTAGATACAGGTCTTGTATTTATTTACTAACTATACTGCATGTTCCACCTGACCATTACAGCTCTCAAGCTGACTATAACTCACACAAAATCTGAAATTTAAGCTATTGGAGTCTTTGAATATCTTTGTTCATGAATCTCAAATATAAACTGAGCTTTTTATCTTTGCTGAACTAGTTTTGTGGTAAAGTGATGGTCTTAAACTAGATGTCAGGAATGAAGTAGCAATAATGACTAATTTAACAGGCTGGTACTTAGAGTTTGTGGGTTTTGTTGTAGCTTCTTTTAACTGCTGTGACACTAAAAATAGCTGAGATCAAATGGAAATTATGCTTTTGAGCTAATACAGAAGGAATTTGTGCTATATTTGTACATTTAGCAGCTTTTTCATTATTGTTTTAAGTGTTTTATAACTAATTATTTTTTATGCAAGTCTTCAAGAGAAAATGTGCTTTTCATGTTTTTTTTATAACATTGAGCACTGCTTTACTCTTTTAACAGTTTACTAAATAGCTTGTGTCTGGCAACCTGCTTCATACAACAAGTGTGTCATACAACTTCCAAACAGCTACTGTTCACAAATAAATCAGAAATTAAGGCGTCCCATGGTGTTCTAAAATGTTATCAAATGGATGTGCTTAAGTAGCCGTCACTGGAAACTTAGCAGATAACTGAAATATTTTGCAATCTTACCACACCATCCTATTTTAGGTTTTGAGCTGTGAGAGTAACTTTAAGTCTCATAATTTTCCTTGAATAAAAGTAACAAAAATTTTCAGTGGCAGTACCTAACAGTGTGGTGATGTTTGAGAAGTTTTTCTGAGGAAGCAAAACCAAGAATTGCTGAGATATATAGAGGGGAGTTACAGAGAGGGATATGTTGGAAGCTCTCTCCTCTACCAGAAGAAGCTGCAAAAAATTAAACAGTGATAATTTTTCACAGATTCAGTTTATCTGTGTTTTCTTAGAATTCAAAGTAATTCGCTTTTATGTATCCATCAAGATGTTCAGGGTATTTTCCTGCAGTCATTAATTTGTATAGATACTTTCTGTTTCTCAGTATTTTTACATTTTGGGAGGGTAAGCTGGTTGGTTGGCAGTGTGATAGAGGAGGACAGGGAGATACTTATCATGTCACTGAATGGCCCTGGTCAAAAAAAATTGAATGCCAGCAGCTTCAGGTCACTAGGCTTCCAAAATAGTACTGTTGCTGAAAGTGGAAACTTGAGATGCAAACTAGAAAGAAGCTACTGGCTTCAGTCTTGGTATACTGATTTGTCCTGCCCTTGAATGTGTATACCAGTCAGATATGATGGATTTTAATGCAAATAGAATTACTCCCATCTCAGATGAGACCTTGTGTAGAAAAGGCAAAACATCTTCAGAGATAACCAAACTCAAAAGGTGTTCTTCACATTAAAAGATTTCCATGGTGGTTCATTGTCTGAGTTATAATCTTCAAGGTCACAGATTTCCTTTTAACAGTGGTTTGGTTTGATTTTTTTCATCAACAGTAGTTGTTCTCTGCTCTTTCTGTTTCTTTAAAAAAAAATTGGACAATGAACAAAGCTTTTTTGCTATGGATTTCCTGATTTTTTTAGCTTGGGTTGGGAGGCTGCTCGTTCTGTATTACATTTTCATTTCGATAGCAGTCAAGCCCATTACTGCTGAAAATAGCTCAAATGTTCGTAGAAAAAACAATCAGCAGCTTAGACTCTCTCTCTTTTTCTTTTACAGACTCTTGCATGTGAATTAAATTAATTTCTTGAGAGAAACCTTCATAAAGGGCTAAATAAACAAGGTCTACATATACAGACATTTCTTACTTTTGCTGCGTTTGAGACCCAGCTAAACTCTTCTGTCTGGTAAGTCATAATTTTCTTAAGGATTTGTCTTTCTTCCTGCCCTTACAACTTTCATTTTTGAGTTTCTAATTAATGTTCAGAGAAAACCAGCTTCAGCTTGCTGGTAGTTCTGGTGCATTCTGTATATGAAGTTCTAAGACTGATCTCCAAAGGCATTACTGTGCTGCTTTTACAAACTTCAGGATAGTAGCTATGATTCTGTATGGTACTGTGGTATACATGGGGTTTAATAATTTGTTCTCAGTTTGCTGCAATGAAGGAATTAAATGTTTTAAAGCAAAAATGGTGATTGTTCTGTCTTGGATTTACCTGTTTGAATGTTCTGTATTTAATAAATTAACTTAAGAATGCATATTGCAAACTATATTCAGAGTCAAGTCAGAGTTTCAAAATAAAATTTCCCAACATTCATTCATGTCTCATTGATTTTTGGTTTCACCTCTTCTAGATAAAATAGGTTGATGAAGTTAACTACAATGCTTTAGTTTTCTTGGTGATGTGCCTATTTCATGGGACAGTAAGCATACATATCAGTAGTCTTTAATTCATCATATAATTCTGTAACTGTCTGCTAAAGGTATTTATGTCTTAGAGTTTCTTTGGGTTTTAATTCTACAGCTTGAAACATTTTTTTTCCTTTGATTATGAAGTATTAACTGAATTTGACCCAAACAAAAGCAAGTTTTCTATTTTTATTCTTTATTGCAATAAAATGAAGGAAGTCTTGGAAGAGGAGAAAATCTTTTGCTCTGTGATGAGGTTTTTCTAAGCAGTTGGCTGGCATTAGATGGCACCCTATATATACTCAGTCCATCTGATTTACACTGCAATGCTTTGGCTTACCACAATTACTGTGTACTTACATACTGCATGCCCTAGCTCTGCACAGTTCATCTTGCAGGCTTTGCTGTAGCCCTAACATCAGTTTATTTCAAAAAATATGTCGAAAATATAATATTTAAAATAAGTGTTATATTTAATGTAAAGCAATAGTTGTCTTTTCATAGAAAAAAAACCAAACAAAAAAAGATCAACAGTCTTACATAAAAAGCTATTTGGAGGCTTTCCAATTAATTTCAGTTTTAGTAAGAAGCTTTCCATCTTGTTTTTGGATAAAAAGAGAAAAACTGAAATAGATGTCTAGATTTCATAAAAAATATCTTACTTGTCTTACATTGATGGTTTTCATATAAAAAGAGTTTGTCACCTGAGAATTACTTCTCAAAAAGCTGAAGCTTTTGACGGAACTTAAGACACCTCAGAGGTCACGCTGCAATTACTGTTTGAGCAATTTAGAAATATGTGATTCCTTAACATGTCTGAAAACATAGCTGGAGGAGAAATTACACATAAATAGGCTGCATAATAGACAAAAATATGTACCAATTATTTTCAATTAAAAACAGTGCTTGAACTGTTCAAAGTAAGGGCCAGACATGGTCTATTAATGATCACTTTTTAATTTATGAAAGTTTGAATTTACCATGTATTTTGTACTTAATTTTTGAGTGAATAACAGGGTTGACTTACAGGAACTTGTATCTAGAATGCTAACACGACCCAAACTTTAACTAAGTGAACTTGGCACAAAATTCAACTTGAGAGGAAATCTCAGGAGAGCAGTGGAATTCCTTTCATTGAATAAGTATACCTCAGCATTCATGGAGAACAAATGGTAACATTTTGTGCAAGTTTCTGCTTTTGACAGTGTGTCTTTGTTCACTTCCCAAAAGGGGTGTCAACTGCATTGAAAAAAAACATAAAACTTTCTTATTTGAATTTTTCATTTTACTTAATTATATGGTCCAAAGGAACCCATTAAGTCTGGGATAGCCTGACACCACTGTTTATGACTCTTTGTGTATGTAGAAAAAAAGCTGAGTTAGAACAGTTTGGTTACACAACTATCTTCCCTCCTTACTGTCTTTGTGAGCTCAAATAGAAAGGTAGGAGTATATATATCTATAAGCATTTTATGATGGAATTATTTTATCAAAGTGTCTCAGAAAATGTTTTCTTTTTGCCAAAAGAAGTGTTATTCAAACAAAATATGATATTACTGAACGGTTACCTTGAGAAACAAAGGATCATGATAACTTAGATTTCTTGTTAAAAGCTTTGTGCTGAGAAAGACCTTAACTTAATGTGCTATTTAGTTATAATGTTACCTCTATGGTGTGTTCTTCTGTTCATTTACTGACAACAGTGGGGTTTTATGGGAACTGTTCTATATGGGGTTCTCATCTATGATCTAAGCATATCAGCAGATCATAGTAATACGGTGAAAGTGAATGGATTTAGTATGTGTCAATGCTGGAGAAGAAAAAGGTGTTTTGAAAACTTGAAATCAGGACCTGGGGGTAGAGGAAATTAATCTGAGTAAAAGGCCATCATGCAGCCATCTCTTGCTCACATTAACTGCAGACAGGGAATATACCAAAATGGAGATGCTGAGAACATTCATATGCGTGACCCATGAGTTGTGTCTGCACTGGGCTACCTGGCCATCTGGTATTTTCAGATGGCAATACATAGCTCTGGAAAAAGTTTGTGATGTGATTCTGCATGTAGCCAGCTGCTCTAGAGGATTGCAATTTTTATGGCATCCTGGTTATCTCGTGTCTGCAGTAGTGCAAAATTGCAATGCCTCTTTGTCAGCTTTGGAGCTTAGGCTGGGCTTAACCTTTCGATTGATCCAAATGAAACAGGAACTGGCAGGATTCCTAGCTTCTCACAGTAGCCTCTGCTCATAATTAATCTGTGGTTTGGGGGAAGAGAATAAAATTAATCATTTTATTAATATTCAAGTACAGCAGTCAGCATCTTTTGTCAGAATTTATAATTTTAACTATAACGTCTAAGCTTTTGGTTGCTTAACTTTTCTAAGAAAACCACTGTTTTTTTAGATAAACATTTTCAATGTTCTGCAACTCCAAAATATTCGTTTTCTGTCTTAAAAAAAAAGGTAATAGTTGCAAGTCAAAACCAGGTACTTTTGCATATGAAAAAATGAATAATCTTCACTTCTGCCCCACGCCTTGAGTTTCGTTCGATTCTAATTTATGTATAAGTTTGAAAAGCACTGATCTGGGAATAAAGCTGCATGATACATGGCAGAGAATTCACTGTTTTAGTCACAGAACCATAGGAAGGGTAAGGTTGGAAGGAAGCACAGTGAGGTCATCTGGTCCAACATCCCTCTACTTGTGTGCTTGTACTTTATTGAGAAAAGCATGCTTTTAAGCACTTTCTCTTCCTAAGTAATCTAGTAAGTGTGCTTTAATCTGTTTTCAAGGTGGCTTGTGTAAGGCATTATCTGTTTATACTTGTGAGACTACATTTGTCTCCATAATATTAGTGTCTTAAGAATTGGTATGTTTCCTTAGTAACTTATGCCCCTAAATGTTTAATGCTGTGTCATATTTAGTGCTGGGCATGAGCTGGGCACCCAGGTTCCTTCCACACTTGAGGCTGCTGATGACTTGTTTCCCAGAAAGGTTCCCTGTAAGAGTCATTTAATACAAATGCATTTAGAAAGGAACTGTCCTGGTGCAAAGGAGACTTTTAGCATGTATATCTTCCCTAGTCTGTGCAAAAGCAGCAAGTGAAAAATGTAGTAGCAGCTCCAGCCTTTTGAAGCTGAAAGTCCAAGCACCAAATTCCTGTATGTGAGTGGTCTCTCAACTTTGAAAGTGCTCCTTGAGGCACCTGCATAGGAGTCACTTACTTGTGTGATTTATCTTGATAGATCTAGTGAGCTAAGACATGAGGTGCAGCTGAATGCAGCAGAACTGTATGTGTGGCCCTGGATCTCTGTGAGGCCTCTGGACCTTCTGGAAAGCAGATTTCTCTGGATTTCTTCTCTGAAGTCAAAAAAGGTTGAATTAAGAATAACAGAGATAAATAGATTATATATCTAACCATGTACTATTGTCTTATTTAATTCCTGGGAGGGAAGGAAGCTGAGTTGGGAAGGCAAGCCAGGTTATTCACGTAAAGGGACAGTTGATTTGGAGAATAAGTCCTCTGTCTTGATGTGATTTATTCTTCCAGAACAGTCAAGTTCGGACCAGTGGATAGAATTTTTCAAGAGTTCTCCTAGCCTTCAATATACAGAATTTATTAGTTAATCTTTCCACAGTGATGGCTGGTCAAATAAAGGCACTTGGAACTTACTGTCAGAGGTCTGTTGGATCTCCAGATTTGTAAAATCACCTTTTGGTTTCTACTTCCCTGCTGGGTCCTGCACAGAGCTTTCCAGTGCTGAAAAGGGAAGCTGATTGCTGATTTTTGGAATGTTACAGCACAGGCCCAAAGTAATAGTTTAAAAGTGAGAATAAAACTCATGTAAGACTTGGTTAAAATCAAGGATATTAAATGTGTGTGCCGTAAACAAGAAATTTAGATGTAATAGTGTAAAGTCTGGGGACATTCTAATGTACTAAAAGAGTCTGCTTTTTCCTGTGTTCAAAAACAGTGTTTAAAAATTACCTTAGACTTCTGTAAGCAGAATTAAGCTAGTATTGAAAGTTTTTGAAATATCTTCCTTAAAGCGTGTCCCAGCTTTATCTGCAGGCAGGTTCCTAAAAGCCTACCTGTAATGCAGCAGCTGAGTGTTTAAAGCTGTATCACTACTTCTTAGTGATACCTCTTGGAGTAGCTAACAATAATATGTTCACACAAAACATTTTGCAGTAATGGCTTTGCATTAAAGGAAAGATTCTTTATTAAAATTGAGCAGATGTACAGTTTAATCTGTTATTTGAACTGGAATTCAATTTTGACTTGAGGGTGAAACTTCTGAAAAGCACCATTATCAAACTGCCCTTTTTAAAAACAAAACCAAGACCAACCGAAAAAACAAAACCCCAAGAAAACCCCAAAACCTTGGAATTAAAAGGCTGAAAAACATAACTAGGCAAACATCTGAATTCCTAAAAGGCATATAGATGTATGACAAATGGGCTGTCTGAATTACTTTAAGTCCTGTGTAGTTTGTA